CTGTGTGTCTTCTCATGCTGCATGGGCCTGTTCTTTGCCTTTTCACTTTTTCCATCTGAAACACTTTCAGGTGTTTTCCAAAATGAGTGCCGAGCTGTACTTAGCTACAAGATGCCTTACAAGAATCGGATTTAAAAACCTGCCCACTCTCTTCCCTTTTGTAGGTTGCAATGTGTAACGCTCTGAGAAGTCCTGCAGTGAAGAAGTCAGTTTGACCCAGTACTATTTTGTGAAACACAATTTGGAAAATGCTGGACTGGAACAACAACACCCAGAAGCTTGAAGAAGCTGCAAAACTGAACAACTTGGTTTAGGGCTCAACAACAAACCTCTTCCCCAAACTTCTTACATCTAACATCCAGGCACTTCCGACCACCCCCAACTCAGCCGTGCTTCTTTGTCAAAAAGAAGTGAGCTGAACAAGGTGCTGTTAAAGCCCTGGCAAAGGGTGGGTGCTGAGATAGTCTCATACACTGACGTGGTCCTGGCCGGCAAGCTCCACCCAGCTATTTCCAATCCCTTCTCTCTTTCCTGCACTTCCTCTTCTCTCCCCGCTCTTGGACAGGGCCCAACTTCCAATATTCTCCTGAGCCCCACTTCCTGACTCTCCCCCAAAGCGGTGCTGCTAATCAGCCCCCTTTGAGGAAAGCAGCAAAGCTCCTTAGCCTCCCTGATCTGTGGGAGTGTGATACCCACTCTTACTACACACAGGTGTGTGAGGACACCTTGCACCATCAGCAAGGTTGGGGGGGGGCTTCTCTGCCCCTGAAACTGGGCCTGGGTGTGCTGTCTCAGGTGAGCAACAGTCACTGGAGAGCTCTGTGCTTCCTAAAGGTATGAAATGATAAGATTTTGCAGACTACTACATTCCTGTATCACTTAAAACTCTTAATTTAAGACAAAAATTAATTTGACCAATCTCCGATGATAAAGATAGGAACATCATTTGGAGCGAAATTTCAAGTAAGATCTAAAACCTAAGTACAGTCAGATACCATGACACCAATCTTAAAAGTCATACCAAACCTACAGGAGGCCCTTCCTGGGGCGTCAGGTCACCTGGCTGGCTTTTTCACGGCACCCCTCCCCGGTTCTGCCGGTTGTCACCCAAACAACATTTCCAAAGCTGCAGCCCTGGCTGTCTTAGGAACAGCAGATTCATGGGTATTTCCTGCTCCCCCCTGACAAGTGGTTCGTGGGGCTCTTTCCCAGATCCCATCAGCTCTACTTCCTTTTCCTTCTCCCCTCAGATATGGAGATGTAGCAGGCCCTGCACGGCCATGGCCACCCACTTGGGGTCTGCCTTGTACCTGGGCAGGAGACTTCTCCCCTCCCTGGCAGCTTCTCCCCAGGTCTCTGCAGGTTTGAATGAGGATTTGTCTCATGGCCTAATTTGCTCAGAATAGCTAACGCGGAGATGGCAAACAGATTTCCCGTTGTTCATTATCTCTAACTGACTGGAAGTGGCTGCCTGGAGTGTCGATCAATTAGCGAGGACTGTGGGCACGTGTGTGGGTATGAATGTGAGTGTGTGTGAGTGTGCACACATGTGTGGGTGTGTATGTGTGTGTGTGGGGGGGCTGAGGGATTCATGTCGGATACTCGCCACCCTTGTTTAAGGTGCTCACTCACGCTTTCTGTAACTGGAACGCGGGTTAATAACCAGGTTCTTTGCCTGGAAATTTTCCCCTGCGGGAGCTGAGAATCAGGAAGCCTCAGCTAAAGCACCGGTAATTAAAAGATGCCCTGAAAGAGCTCCAGGGTAGGTGTTCGGCAGAGCCGTGCTGTGGTTTCTGCCTGGGGAGCGGTAGTCCGCACACAGGGAGCCGGGCGCACTGATACCCCGGGGGGCAGCACGCTGGAGGGCGGCAGGGGCAGTCCAGCTCTGTAGAGCCCTCGCCAGGCTCTGCCCGCGGCCGCGTGAAAGGCCCGCCCAGCAGCTCTGGTCACCAGATGACCACCTGACAACAGAGTGGGCTGAGACCACTGGGACACCAGCCTGAGGGGAGGCGGGTGATGAAGGGCGGCTCTCTCGCGGCCCTAACCCGCCCCGGCGTTCACTGGGCTCTTGAAAACCCGGGGCCCTTCACGATTCCTTCTGCAGAGCAGAACTCCACAGGAGTGTCCCAGCTCTGGAAACGCGGCAGTGTGACCCTAGTGCATGGATGGTCAAAGAAGGCACAGAGTGTCTGCGTGCAGACAAGGGTGCAGGACCTGGAAGGACAGAAGCCTTAAAAAAAAAAAAACTCAGGAGTTACTTTTGGGGCCTGAAATCACAGGGGTTCCGGGGGTCACTCTCCTGTCATTCCACCCACCCACCCATTATAGATTGACCTTCTGAGGCACCCCTCCACATGAAGATCTGATTCCAAGGATCTGTCACCCCCTGCATCAAGTTTATCATACCTGGTGCTCCCTCTGCTGGAGGCTCTTCCCCAGATGCCCACAAGGCTTGCTTCCTCACCTCCCTTACTCAAATGTCACCTTCTCAGTCACTTTCTCAATGACTCTGTTTTACTTTGTCCCCACGTGGTAGGCTGTGTAACAGCCCTTAAAGATATCCAGGCCTTCGTTCAAGGGACCTGTGAATGTTACCTTATATACTAAAGGGGACTTTGCAGATGTGATTAAGTTAAGGATCTGGAGATAGGAAGATCATCCTGGATTATCTGGCGGGCTCAGTGTAATCACAAGGATTCTCATAAGACAGAGTCAGGAGATTTAACTACTTAATGTGGGGGACCGGCAATGTGACAATGGTCACAGACAATGGAGTGATGCAGCTATGAGTCAAGAAGTGCTAGCGGCCTCTAGAAGCTGGAGGAGTCAAGGAACAGATTCTCCCCTGGAACCTCCAAAAGGCACCTGCCCTGCCGATACTTTGACTTAGCCCAGTGAGACTCACTTGGGACATGTGGTCTCCAGAACGCTTGAAGAGAATTACATTTGTGTTCAGCCACCAAGCTTGCCGCAATTTGTTACCGCAGTCATAGCAAACTAACACACACCCTGTGCACCCACCCTCTCCCGTCCCCCTCCCGGCTCTGGCCTCCTTCAGCCTTATTTGACACCCTGTATTTTCCTTCTGAGGGCTGTCTGTCTCCCTTACCAGGGGGTCGGCCCTGCAAGGGCAGGAGCCCTTGTCTGTTTTGTTGTGGACTCCATTCCTGCCCAGAGAGGGGCAGCCTTTCTCTCACTGGGGCCCAGGCTCTCGCAGGACCCCACTGGGCCCATCTCATCCCAACCTACAAGGCTCTGTTCTGCACATAGGCTACCAAGGCCACCCTCCTTTCTGTCCTCTGGAAGCCTCAAGTGCTGGTAGGTGGACTGTGAGTGGCCCATGGGAGCGAGGGTGTGGCGTGCCAGGTGAGGCTCTTGTGACTGGCGGGCCCTGTCCCACTCCCATCTGCCTGGGACACGGCGGGGGCAGTGCATTGTGGAGGTCTGGCAGGTGTGCCTGGCTCGGGGACCACAGCATCCCCTGTGTCAGCTTTCTTGTGCACAAACAGGGATAACACCATGACCCCAGCAAGGAGTGTGGCCAGAACTAAGCAAGATTAGTGACAGAGAGGCTAATCCACATTCATTTTCCTGAGGTATTGCTTATTTTTGTTTTGTGGTGAACTGTGTGCTGCTGGTCCGTTTCCGGGAAGCAGGGGGGCATAGGTTTGTCTTTGTGGTGTGCTCAGGGCAGGGGGCAGGCTGCAGTGGGCCCGCTGAATGGGGACTATTCTGAAGCCATATGCCCAGGAATTCTGCCAAAAGGTACACCGGCCCTGGTTGCAAGGAAGGCTGGCCTCGTGCTGCTAAACCATCTTGACAGGCCTTTCCCCACCGCCTGCCAGTGACGTTCTGTGGGGATGCTGGGTTAGTCTGTGTTTCTGAGAGCAATTCCCTGAGAGGCTCTGAGTCCTCCTGGGACTCCTACTTTGCCACTGCCCCCTGGACATAATCAGATCATTTCCTTACAAGTCAGGACATCAGCACTGAGAACAATAGTGGTGCCATCTTAGGGCTGAGTCTATGAGAGCTCTCAGGTACCAGGCCCTGAGGCTTTAACGCAGAGCAGGAAACCAAGGTGGGAGGTTAGTGTGTGTGTAGGGGCAGAGTGGGGGTTAGTGGGGGGGGTCTCTATTTAACCTGGTCTCCCCTCCAGCTGTAGCTGTAGAGTCCTCCTGTCTCTACCCCTGCAGCCTCACCCCCCTACCCCTCCAACACAAACACCCTGTGTTCTCAGATCTCGTCAACTGCAGAGTCAGCATGATGATGCCCTTGCCTGCCCTCCCAGAGCCCCCCAGAACCCATCAAGGTGAGGATTCTCAAGAAAGGGTCCTCGCTGAGTTAAATTCATCCCTGGGTGGAAGGCCCTGAAAGGCTCAGTCTCGGAAAGAGAGGTCAGGGAACTGCTGTGACTCAGGAGGAGGGAAAGCTTGGACTGGGGGTGAGGGGGCGGTCGAAGCCGCTTTCCAGAGGTGCTGTGGAAGCATTGCTGTGTGAGGGTTAACAGCAGAGGCCTTGGGAAGGCTATGGGGGTGGCGGGGTCAGGTTGCCCCTGCTCTGATGCTTACTGGCCCTGTGCTCTTGGACATATAACAATCTTTCCAAGCCTCAGCTTACTCATCTGTAAATTGAGGACAGTTGAGAGTATGGATCAAATAGGAGTGCTGTGAAGTTTCATTTACAGGAGAATAATTATGTAAATGGACCGGCAGGGTGCCTGGCACATGGTTAGCTCTCATAAATGTTAGCTCTGGTGATGACAGCAAGGGCGAGGAGGACAGCCGGGGGACTTGATTGCTCTCTCCCATGTCACCATGCAGCCTTTCATGGTTTCCCATGGGATGTGGGGAGAAAGAGAGGGAGAGGGTGCTCCAACATCCGTGGGGCAGAAAAGACGGTGCTTTGTGCTCTGCCTTTGCTGTGTCTCTGGCCTGGACAGCAGATCCAGACAGACACAGAGGAGCTGGAGGAGAGACCAAGGGGAGTGGTGAATCCCTTACCTTGGTTGTTGTAGGAAGTGATGACCTGGGTCTGCTGAGGATGCTCTTTCTCCGTCAGGCTTCCTGTTGAAGCAAGACAGACCTGCGGTGACCACTGGGACCATGGTGGCATTTGCCCCAGGCAGAGCAGGGAGCTGTGTGTGTCTGCAAGAAAAGCAGACTGGTGGGGGGGGGGGGTGAGCTCATCCCAGGCCTGGCCTAAACGTGTGCACACCCCCGTGCACATCTGCACGGTGCACACATGCGTGAATCAGCACCTTTACACATCTGGATGCAGAAGCAAGCGACTATGAACCCATGTGCACACACCCTCACACCTCTCAGCAGGTGCCAGCCGAGGCTGGGTTTCTTCTCGAGAAGGTGGGGACACCTCATGGGTCCCAACCTCAGTGTGGCCAGGCTCAGCTGCCAACGAGCAAACGGGTGCCTTGCTGATCATCACACCTTCTGTGGAATGGGCTGGGAGGCTCCTCTGCCCATTTTATAGCCAATAGGCCTGCAGCCTGGACACTTAACTTTTGGCTAAAGACCTTGCCCCCAGGCACTTGAACCCCAAGTCTCCTGATTCCTAGGTCAACATCTTGCCTCCCTCTGAGCAGAATGGGGGCAGCCTGCCTTCCACTCCAGCTTAGGAGTTGGGGTGACTTGCTGTACTGTTCAGGTTCACAGATATTTTCAGGGCCCCCACTATGTGAAAGCTCTCTCCACGCACTGGGGATCTTTATGTCCTTGGAACACAGAGCTGTCCTCAGAGCCTAGTGGGGTCAGGCTGCGGTGAGAAAGGCCCAGTTCCTGCCACAGGCCATGAAGGGGAACCCACAGGCTTACCTGCCCCTCCAATGGGAAGCAACACCTTTTCCTATATTTCTCCCTCACCCGCTGCTGCGGCAGCCTGGTCTTGCTGAGGCTGCTTCAGGGGGGTAGCTCAGCAGGGGAAGGGGCAGGGTTGTGGCAGCGGGCGTTCCCCCCCAGTTACCACCCTGGCTTGCCACCTTCTCCCCTGGCCTTCCACTGGTCTGCAGAAAGGCTGTCGGGCCTGCCACTGGAAGTGGCCACTGGGACCAGTGCCTGGGCCTGGAAATAAGCATGCCTTTGGGGCGCTGGCCTCCACAGATTCCACTCAGATATCTTCCTTGTGCACCCAACCAGATCTGCCACCCAGGGATTCCCATGCCGGGGCCCAGGCAGAAGCCAGTCAAGGTGGATAGGCAGGTCACTGAGCTGGGCTGGACTTGTGATCCACCTGGCAGGGTCTTGCCCTGGAGAACCTGCCTGCTCCAGCCTTCTCCTATGAGCAGGCCCAGCCAGGACCCTCACCCCGTGGGCTGAGGTCGGTGGGTTGGCCAAGGGCTAGAAGCACTGTGTATGCCAATCCAGGGTGATGCTGCTCTGGAGCTCTAGGCCATACTCAAGCGAGGACAGGGAGGTTGGCTCCTTCAGGCACAGCTGGCTACATCTCTGCTGGGCTGGCAGATGAAGGAAACAGGAGCCGGGGAGGGAATCCTCAAGGAGGACGATTGGCTGGCATAGCTGCTGTGGGTATTTATAGTCAGGGCCGCACAATTGGTTTCCCTGTGGCTATGGGGTGTCAGTCCCGGTGCTGCTAGGCAGACTTCGGCCAGGACCAAGGAAAGCAGCCAATCACAGCAGGGGAAGCCCGTTGCTGGGCAAGCTAGTGGCGTTGGCTCGGCCCAAGCACCTGCTGCTCGGAAAAGTCTGGAGCAGTCCAGGCTCCCCCCACCCTGCCAACGCCCCAGCTCAAGGAGCACACAGGGCAGCAAGAAGGGGAACATGTGCCTTTTTGGATCTGCCCCAAGTTCAGCCACATTTGTGCACACACCACCAGCACAAGCCATCAGCTGCCTCCTCTGCAGATGAGAGGCATCCAGTTTCCAGGGCTGGGTGCCTTGGACGCCAGCGAGGGAAGTATGTACCCAGAGTCTCACCGTCAGAAAACACAGGGAGAATCTGTAATTTTAGTTTCTGCTGGCACACAAACGTGCAATTTGAAAAAAATAAATAAAATTTTATTTTAAATTACCTATATTGGCGGAGTGGTGCCACCCTCTCTCCAGGCCTCCACTTATCCGAAACTCTCAGTTCTCTTGGGTGGTTTTTCAAGAACTACTTTCACCCTCCTCCTTAGTTTTTTATTATTTTTTAAAAGATTTTTATTTTTTTAAAGTAATCTCTACACACAATGTGGGGCTCAAACCCACAACCATGAGATCAAGAGCCACACGCTCCACGACTGAGCCAGCCAGGCGCCCCATGATCCTCTTTATTTTGTTGTGTTTTTCCACTAACCTTCCCTCAAATCAGAGGCCCTAAAGATGGTGAAAGTAAGATAGGATAAATTCACTATATTTCAATCTTCTCCTAACGTAATAACATGGCTGAGAAGCCATAAGATAAATTTCAGACAACTCAAGATAAGCGAGCTATAACAAATGAAGATGCTGAGTCTCTTCTCTCCCACCTCAACCCACTTTTCCACTCACCTGCTCATACACTGGCCAAGCATGCATATCTGCATTGGCTGCTGTGTATTTTTGCAGGTGACAGGTTTCTGGTGGTCTGACTCTTATAATTCTCATGAGCCTGCAGCCTAGTTTCGCTAACTTTGGCATCTGCTTCGGTCCAGCTAGAGCAGGCACATCTACCATCTTACGACCCTAAAGCAAGGTTAAGGAAGCCATCCCACCATGCATGCCCATTAGCCAGGACCCCAGGGGATGGTTCCCGAGGCAGGAGCCTGTCTTGGGTCTGATCTGTCCTTATGCATAGGGCAGGAGACACAGGAAAGCTCTTTACCTCCAGGGTGTTGAGATTCTATTGCAGTGAAAAGCATTATGATTATAATCATTAACATGGTCCCATCAGGGCAGGGGTTCTTGACTGTCTTTATCCCAACACCTAGAACCCCACCTGGCACCAAGGAAACACTGTAGACCTTTACTGAGGGAATTAATGAATGAATTTTCTTTTAGAACTTCATCCTTCCCTTTTGTTACTGTCAGGATGGCAGAGCATAGGTGTTTGGTCTCATTCAGTTGGGGTCCTGATTACCCATCTGCAGAGGGTCACACAGGTGGTTTCTTCACACTAGCATTTGATGAGCCCAGATCTGACTGAGTCCCCTATTGGGGTTTTGGGAGTGGAGGTCTGATTCTTACTAGAATTCTCACATGCCCACAGTGAAGCTTCACTGATGTTTTTTCTTGGAAGCTGGGCTAATGAGTCTCTGATGCATACAGAATAAGGCCTAGTAGAGTCCGTCCATGCATGGCATTCCCCGAGCTGTCCTGGGACTGCAGGGTGATAGACACCCGGCACCAGAGAAAGGAGGCTTTGGAAAAAGACTTCGCTCAGATCTTACTATATTCTGGGTCCCCAGCCAGCTGGGAACCATAGCACCCCTCTCCCTAGGCTTGGAGTCATAATGTCCCCAAAGAGGCCACTGTCCTCTCTGTTTGAAAAAATTTTCAAAGGATGGATGCCCTGCCTGACGTGAGCAGCCCCACCTCCAGGGGAAACATGCTCAAACCTCGCCATGCCGAGTGATGATGCCAAGTCCTTCCCTATATGTAGCCAGTGAACAAGTGGGTGCTCAACTTTAGGGCACTGCTCCCCTCCCATCCCACAGCCTCCAGGAAATTGGGGGACATGATGCCAGGGAAAACTTTCCGGGGTCACAGTGGCCCCAGAGGCATGGCTGAATCACGAGCAGCCACTTTCTGAGTGGTTAGATATCTACAGCCAGTTTTCAAACACGTGAAATCGAATGCTTCCCGTCATTTTTCAATGTGTTGAATTACAGAGACTGAAAAGAAAAGAAAATGAAAAGAGAGAATTTACCATGCACGTCACTTCCTTCGAATTTCTGCCATCTCCGGATTCCATTTCCGATGCCCTGGATTCCTACGAAATAACAGGGTCTCGCATGAGGGTCTCCATGATGGGAAGACCCAGGCCAGCAAGTGATGGGCCAGCTGCTAACGTATCTGGGTTGAGGTGGGGCTGGTGGAACCCGGCTCTGTCAGGATCCAAGAGAGGCTGCCCGCAAATGAGACGCACTTTAAAACATTAAAGGAAAATATTAAAACAGTAGTTTTCAAAGGTGGTGAGGTGGGTTATCGGGATCATCCAGGCAGAATTTTTACAATACAGATGCCCGTTTTTCACTCCACATCTCGGCCGCATAAATATGGAAGCATAACTGTGGAAGATGCTCACCATTCATTTTGCCTGCCTATTTCCGTATGTGGGGAATCTCTCACTTTTAGAGTCATGACGGAAGGTGGAGGGTGGGCAAAGACGTTCTATCCGTATGGGAAACGCAAGTGATAATTGGCAAATTGTGAAAATTCTCCCTGGATGATAGCTCCTGATGAGGAAGGAGTACCGAGGGCCCCTTGGTGGCAATAGAGGTTTCCTTGCCAGACCAGCTCTGCTGGGCAGCCGCTGACGCTGTTCCTGGAAGCTCAGCCTCTAGCCTGGGTCTCCAGCTCTTGCAGTCACTGCAAGTCCCCCAGTCCCTTCCCGATGCTCTTCTTTTCTGCAGCGCTCTCTGCAGCTAGGATCTGGGGCATACCACTCGGAAGCCTCGGGGACTCACGTACGGACTGGAATGCACACATCACACTGACTTGGGGGATGAAACCTGACTTTGGAGCTATTTTAGACTGGGTGCAGGCAGCTTTAGGCCACCTCCTCCATGGCACAGGATAGGAGGTGAGGGTGTCCAGGCATGCTTTTGAGAAGCACTGCCCAGAGGAGAATGGAAGGGCTGTAGAGGAAAGAGCAGAGAGCTTCTGTTGGCAGCCCAGATCCCTGGCACACACTGTCTTTGCCTCCTTGTCCCTCTGATTCTTTTCTGCCACAAGGACACAGCAGAAAGCCACCCGATCTTCACTCGGTCCTCTGCATTGTGACAGTAATGGAGGTCAGGCTCTGCTTCGCAGAGCCAAGGACCTGGGCTGGAGGGGAGACAGGAGGAGAGGCCTGGAAGAGGTGTGGGGGCATTTTGGATCTTGTGCCCCAACAGGAGGCCTTGGAACAAGCTAGTTTAATTCAGTGTTTCCTTGCCTTAGGCTGTGTGGGCTTAGTCAGGGGTCTCTTGGACATCAACACTGCCCAGCAGGCTTGGAGGCTGGTCGCTCTCCTGCTTTGGTATAGAACTGTCTGTAAATAAGTGACACTGGTCTTTCCACTGGCCTCGTGTGTGGGAGAAACCTCCTTCAGGAAAAGTTTGGAGACAAATAGCAGAAAGGGGCTTGGCAAGCAGGGTCTTCTTTCCTTGTGTCATGGTCATGAGTGTGAAATGCACTGGTCTGGAGCCGTGTAGGGTGTATGCTAGGGATGGGACACCTCTGGTAACAGTGCTGATCCCTGGAATTTCTGGGGCTCCTCTGTGTTCTTCTTCCTCCCTTTCTAGTGTTGGAGCCTTTAGGAGAGATACGATCAGAGTGGGGAAGGGAGGTGGGGACGCATAGGCTGACCCGGAGCTGGGCCTCGTGGGGGCCCTCTGGCCTTGCCACACGCTGGGGGAGGCCTTCTGGAGGAGAGGCAGCTTCCGGAGGAGAGGCAGCTTCTTTCCAATCAAGGAGCAGGCGGCCTCTGCCAATTTCCTCATTACGAATACCGGGGTGGGCCATTTCCACCTCTCCTGGGAGAAGCTCTGAGAACGAAAGAACCAACTAACCCAAACAATTCCTGGCCCCAAATCCCTCTGGAGACGGGGAGTACCTGACAACATGTGCAGCTCTCCAGAATCTATTTCTTTCCCCTGCCTGCCTCCCCAAGAGGTCACCAGGAACTATGGGGCAGTTCCAGCCTGTGTGACTGGTGGGGGCAAAGCCAGTCATGGCACCACTGCTTCCACGTGGCAGGTGGAAGGGGGGGGTTCAATGCACAGACCTCCGTAGAGAGAAGAGCCAGAGGCAGACTCTGAGGAGCTCTGGAGCTGGAGGGCAGGCAGGAGGCAGAAGTCATTTTACCCCAGGGGCTGTTAAACGTCACTCCCAAAGCACTGGCCCACGGTCAGCCTAGCACAAACCTCACAGCAGCCCCCAAGAAGGCTCAGGAGGGCTTCCTCACAGACCTACGACCTGTTCCCCAACTTCTGAGGGGCTTATCTAACATCTGCTATTCTCCATCTGTATTCTCTTCAGTGTGTCCTCTCTGGAGATTACAGAGGCCTGAGTGCTGCTTTCCATAATTGCTCCATAAACAGTCACTTCATTTTTCCAGTCTACCTTTCCTCAGAAAGTCTGTAGGAAGAGTAAAATTAATAGATCCGTGAGAGCGCAGAGAGCAGATTTTAAGCTGACCCTACCCAAGCCTGTGTGCCTCTTACACCACCCTTTATGCCTTCCACTGTAGGAGGCTGGGAGAGGCTTCAAGATAGGGGAAACTGAGGCCAGGAGTTGTGCAAGGACACCAAGGGAGTTCCCCGTCTCAAAGTCTGATTCAGCACACACATTCCCCTGGGTCCCCTGCGCTCTGCAATGTGCCATGTGAGGAGCAGGCCTCGGCCACACAGGGGTCAGGCCTGAGGCTCTGGCCCCCTTCCTCCAAGGCATCTTCCAACCCTGTTGTGCACCCTTCAAAGAGTGGATGGGAGGAAGCCGGCTCCCCGGGGGGTGACGGAAGCACCGACTAGCCTGCGCGGGGAGTCAACTCCGGGCGATCACCCGGCTGCGCGTTGCCACAGGACGCCGGTGCCACCGCGCAGAGGCGCAGGCAGCGGTGGGGAGAGGGTCGGTCTCGCTGGCCTCGTTCGGGGACGCCCCGGGCGGCCGGGCCCCGGGGGGGGGGCGAGGAGGACGAGGTGCGGGGGTCCGGGGGCGCCGGCCGGGCGCGCTTTACCTCCTCTGCGCTGCGGCAGCGCGCGCGGGTCCGCCTGCCGGTCCGAGTGCGTGCCCTGCGCGGCGCGCCGCTTCTCCGAGTGCACGATCAGCAGCATGTCGATGGACACGGCGTTGCTGTCCTTCTTCAGCTCCATGGTGCCGCCTCGCTCCCCGCCGTGGCGCCGCGGCCGCTCTCGAGGCTGCCTGCGCTGCAAATGGCCCCGTGCGCGCCGCTGGCCGGCGCGGGAGACGGCGAGGGCGCGGGAGAGGGCGCTCCCCCGCCGCCGAGCCGCTGGGCGCCGCGTTTCGCTGACTCTGCCAAACACGCCATTAGGGCCCGCCCGGGAGGGCGCTACCCTAATGAAGCCGCTCTAAGTCACCTTTGAAAGGAAATCCACAGCCGAGCCCTGACCTGCACCCAGGCCGCGGCTCCAGAGAGCCTCCTGCCCCGTGCGCTTGGAGCGCTCGTCCCGGGCTCCAGCGCTGTTCTCCCGCTGGCCGGTCGCTGCCTAGTCTCCCGCCGTCTCCGGGGATTCCCGCGAGGGCCTGCAGCAGACTTGCTCGGGAAGCTGCAGCAAAGAAATCACTCAGCGCTGTCAACAGTGAAAGTCAGTTCTGGAAAAGGAAGAAGGAGCGCAGGGTGGCCCCACTCCTTCCCCGGGTGGATTTTGGAAGTTGATGGCCTCCTCTAGAAGAGGGAGATGGGCAGGGTGTTGGGGTCAGGATCTCTGCAATTACGGCTGCACCAGGCCTTGGAACATGACCACTGGGCATCCACTTAACAGTTCTTTCTGGCTTGTGGTGAAAGTCTTAACATCTCTGTTCCTTCTAGAAGCCTGGCTCATGCTTGGTGGGGAAGGGGGGGAGGGGCAGAGGAGGAGGTCGGTGCCCGGAGCAGCCTGCCCGCTGTGCTCAGGGAGCTGGACCTGAGAACCCATCTATTTTTAGTGGGGCCTAACCAGGCCAGCCAGCAGCGGCAGGGCCCTTGGCTCTGGGTCTCAGGAGTGTTTACAGCCGCATCTGCCTGGTAGCCCTTGGCACGGTGGGCCCACCCAACCTGGGCCAGTCCCCTAACTTAAGTTTCCACCATTAATAAATGCCGTGCACATGGAAGCCTTTGCTCTGGTACCCTTCCCATAGGAGTGTAATGACGCTAGGTTGCAGGGTGGTCCCTGAGAGCTCCTACCTCCCCCTTGGAGGCAGACTATAATGTGCTAAGTTCCAGTCCTAGCTCCACCACTAGCTGCCAGTGTGACCATGGACAAGCCATTTCCCCCCATTTCCCCAGCCCTCTCGTGGGCATAAAACAGGTTCTCACAGAGCTGTTGTGAGAATGACCTGCACTTGAGCTGCTTGGCACATGGTAAGTGGTCTCCAAATGGTAGCTGTCATTCATATCTCATTTTAAGGGTGAGGGAAAGGACAGGTGAAGTGACAAGTCAGTGATGGAGGCAGGGGCCACACAGATATACCTCAGACTCTGAAGGTCTTTCTCCACTGACTGTGACTCAGGGTTTGTCTGCCAGTAAAGGCCACCACCACCTTGTTGCGTCACCACCAACCCCTTGCTCACTGGGCATCTGATGAAAGGAGATGTCACTGGTTTCTGATAGTGTTGGAGTCCCTAGAGAGCTGAGCTGTGGGACTGATGTAGGTGGGTGACTCCCAAGGCAGGTTTCCTCATGCAGTGAGTCCTGTGCTTTACTGTCATGTTTATGCGTGCGCGCGCGCGCGCACACACACACACACACACACACACACAGCTGGGAGGCTGGCTGAGCCCTGCTGCTCTCTAGATCGCTAGGAAAGTAAGGATTATGCAAAGTCCCTGGGGTTATGCAAAGTCCCTGGGGTCTTGGAGATTGCCCAGGCAGCATCCCCTCATCTGACCTGGGACAGCGTGTCCTAGCTTTTGAAGGGTGTAGGTCCCAAGAGAAGCTTCTGTGTAGCACCTCTCACTACTGAATGGGGCTGAGTGGGAAGGGCAGGGAAGCTGAAGCCCCCTTGCCTGAATTTGCATTCCCATCCTTCTCCCTTGTTCCCTGCTGGAGAGTGTCACTGTTAGGAGCTTGCTCACGTGGCATCCATTTCCAGAGCTGCCCCTGAAGGAGGCGATGATGACCTGGGGATGTATCAACCAGAAGTCCAGGAAGCTGGTCTAGGGGCCTCCTGCCTCTCCAGGATGCCTGAAAACAGATCCTTTAGAGAGGGGCTTCTCGCCTGTGGTGCTACAGACATTTGGGGCCAGAGAATTCCTTGTTGCAGGGAGGTGTCCTGTGCATTGTAAGATATTTAGCAGCATCCCTGGGACCTACTTACTGGATGCCAGTAGCACCCACTTCCCAGTTGTGACAAGCCGGAACGTGCCCAGGTGTTGACATATGTTTCCTGGGGGACAAAAATGCAGGGAAAACACTGCTTTGGAACAAACCCATGAAATAGGGGCTGTGTCACTTTGGCTGTTCTGGAAAATGCTGTTGCTTCTGGGTCCTGATGCTGTCCAGAACCGGTACCCACTCCTCAGAGCCTCCCGCCCACGGCTCTCGGCCCAGTGTCTGGCTCCCTGGGCCCGCACAGCGGCTCCGCGCTAGCAGCATGAGCAGAAAGGTGAGATGGTCTCCTCATCCTTCATGCGCCCACCCCGGCCTCTGCTGACCCCTCCTCTCATCCACACTACCTGCTTTGGCTGAGAGGGAGACACCACACCACAGGAAAGTGTTGGGATGTATCTGGAAAGCGGAGGGGGAGCAGGAGAGACTGAGGCTATGAGGTATCATTCAGAGCGTCTCTGCCCTTGGAGGGCCTCCCCAACCAGTGGAACTGAGAACACGCCCTCAGCCTGTGATTTACACCCTGGGTCCATCCTCCTTCTGTGGACTCACCTCCTCCTCTTGCCCTGCCAACTCACACATGCTGCAGCCACAGCCATGTCCATTACTCCCCAAACACATCTACCTGGTCTTTCGCCTTCGAGGCTTTCCTCAACATACCAGCCCCACCATCCTGCCACCATCTTCGACAACATGGAGCTCAAGGACTTCCACAATCTGACCTAACAAATTCATCCACATCCTTTTGTCTTGGGATCTGACAAACCAGGGGCTATCTCTATTCTTGGGCAGACCTTTAATTATTTTAATCACAATGAGTTGGAAATTTCAGGACACCAAAAGACAAAGAGCAGTCAAAATGGTTGTATTGTTGCCTTTTTCCTCCATTACATTAATACCCAGGCAAGTCCTACTGTCATCTACACTGCTTCTAGCCTTTTACTTGAAGATGGGATGCATCTGTTGTCCCTATGGTTCTGAGCCCTGAGCTGTCTTGGAGATGGCGAGTGATTGACAAGGGGAGGCTTGCTTCTGGCAGATGAGGTTTTCACCAGAAAGGGTGTGTCCTGACTCACATTTTTGTTTTTCCTAAGAAATAGTGGTTCTTCGGGGACCACCAGTCCTAACTCTTTCAGCCCTCTAGAGATCCCAGGAGGTAGGTTTCTCTCTTCTCTAGAGAGATGTGATAGACAAAGCCAATACATGAAAGACTTTCAGGCAATTTGTAGACATGCATGGTGTTCTACATTGGTGCAGTGAGGGAAGGGCACACAGAAAGTGGGGCACCTCGGTAAAGAGCACAGACCATGTCCCAGCCTCTTCACGCCCTCGCTTCTGCTGATATAGACAAACTGTTATGTGGGGAACCAGAGACCTTTCCCAGAAACCTTTTTGGAAACTGGTACTCACTTCCTGTGGTGCCTTGACCAGCCTGGCTTGGCTCGCTCCCACTTCTGAATTTGTTATTGCTGTCACTTTTTCCTGAAATGTGTGTTTAGACATTCCTGGCAAGTATAGTCTGGCCCTCCTTTGAAGTCTGATGCTGGCCCTCACCTCCACCCTGAAGCCTTTCTAGTCACCCTGGTTCTTGGGACTGCTGGAGGATGCCAGCTCTCCGTGGTGCTTCTCTTTTTAACCATCCTCAGTTCCTTTTTTCCACTGGAATGGCATGGACATTTAAACGTTAATTTGAGGGGTGCCTGGGTGACTCAGTTGGTTAAGCGTCTGCCTTCGGCTCAGGTCATGATCCCAGGGTCCTGGGATCGAGCCCCACATCGGGCTCCCTGCTCAGCGGAGAGTCTTCTTCTCCCTCTCCCTCTGTTTGCCACTCTGCCTACTTGTGCTCTCTCTGTTAACTAAATAAATAAAATCTTTAAAAAAAAGTTAGTTTGAAAAAAAAAATACTCTTCCAAACTACCTCAGGTCTCTTCTATTTCATAGCAAAGTGTATGGTGAAGTCCTTGCCTGGCCTCAGACCATATTAAGCTCTTGGAGGGCCAGGTCATGGTCTTCCTCATTCCTGAGTCCCCTCCCACCCTCCTCCCCCCCACACATGCTGGGCCTTCTATGTGTATTGCACACAGGAGGTGCTCAATAAATGTTAGAGTTAAATTGGGCAGAATGAACGCTCCCAGCCAGCCAAGACTTCTCCCTGTAGCCCGGAGGCGTAGCAGCCTTCCGGAGATTTATAGTGTTTGCTCCTTTCTCTCAGACCATCAGGGAATGGAAGAAGAGGTTAACTGAGGACAAGCAGCTCTAAACGCACCTTCTCCCACTGCTGACAGAACCATCTGGAGCATGAATTTGGGGGAGAGCTTGGTTCCAAAAGCACTGCTCAGTCCTAGGCAGCCGCCTCCACCCCGCCCCAAACAGGAGCCATAAGCTGTGACTTTTCCTTTAAACACAGTTCCCTTTCTCAGCCTTTCTGGCGGGTCTCTCCCTGGTCGGCCCATCAGCCCATTTCAGTATTTCTATCCGTGACGCCTTCATTGATTTTCCCTATTTTTCCTCTCCATAGCTTAGTACAACCCCATCTCCTTGTACGTCACGATGTGCAAATGTGGGAAGCACTACATCCCAAGTTCTGGGTAGTTTGAATTTTGAAGTCTTTATACACTATGGCATTCTTGGCCTTTTCCTGTGGATGGAAATGATGAGAATCAATTTGTCTCTCACCACCACTTCCAAAATATCTCTGGCCGTGCCAAGGGAGGTATCCAGTGGCACATGAAAGCCCATGGAGAGATTACCTCTTCAGCTTCGCCAAGTGTTTATTGCCGAGCTATTGAAGTGCCCCTTGCATATTCCTCGATCCGCCTCTCTGA